AGAACCTAGAGACAGAACCTAGAGACAGGACTTGGCTGGAGATCCTAGACAGAACCTAGCAAGAGAACATGGCAAAAGATCCTGGACAGAACCTGGCACCAGAACTTGGTTGGAGAGCCTGACCAGAACCTGGCTGAAGAACCTAACCAGAACTTCGCTGGAGATCCTGACCAGAACTTGGCTAGAGATCCTGGCTAGAGATCCTGGCTAGGCTGCTGATCAACTGAACGCTGCCTCCATGTCATTTCTTCTTCGCCGAATCCATCCACACCTTTGGGGACCCCTGGACCTGCTGGGGATGGACCCCAGCAATCTCACACCTTTTTATCACTCTTCAGGTTTTAAATGCTTTAAGTCTTATAACAATCTATGAAGTAGACAAAGCAAGATGAATATATTAATTTCACTTGTTTTCAGCCTCTATTAAATCAGTACATTAAATATGTTCACTACTCTCATTCCTTAATCAACCCTGACAACAATGACTCATCTTTCACATTTCAAATCAGGATGCCCTTTCCAAAAAGTCAGATTCCCTGGAGTTGCACCTGGGTTTCTGGGAACTCCATGACACCTTGAACTACCTTGCCCATTAATGTAACACAGTAGCAGATTTAATAGCAAAATGATTAAAAATATAATTTTCCTGTTTGCTGAGTTCCTCCTGCTGCAAGGAGTGGTGGACAGGTCCTTTCCTGTGTATCAGTAACCTTATTCAGTCTCCATCATTGCATTTGTTGACAGAAGGTGGGGTTTGGAGTGTAAGTCATGGCCCATAATGGGTGATGCAATGGAGTCATCCCAGCAGGGAGAAATACTGAGAACCACTGGACTTTAAGGTTAAAAGATGGGAAACGATTAACCCCTTATTGGATATATTATTGACAAATATGTTCTTCCATGCAGTGGGATACAACTTAACAAAAGGAAGACAAACAATACAATTAAAAAATGGACAAAAGGACTGAAATAGACGCTTCTCCAAAGTGGACATGCAGAAAGCCAAGAGACATATGAAAAAATGCTCAGCCACTAATCATCCTAGAGAAGCAAATCAAAACAACAATGAGATATCACCTCACACCTTTCAGAATGGCTATCATCAAGAAATCAATAAACAACAAGTGTCGGTGAGGATGTGGAGAAAAGGGAACCCTAGTACACTGCTGGTGGGAATGCAGACTGGTGCAACCATTATGCAAAACAGTATGGAGTTTCCTCAAAGAATAAAAATGAAACTCCAATTTGACCCAGTGATCCCACTTCTAGGAATATATCCTAAGAAACCTGAAACACTCATCAGAAAGAATATATGCACCCCTATGTTCATAGCAGTGCAATTTACAATAGCTAAGATTTGAAAACAGCCTAAGTGCCCATAAGCAGATGAGTGGATAAAAAAAGCTGATGTACATATATACCATGGAATACTATGCAGCTGTAAAAAAGAAAGAACTTCTACTATTTGCAACAGCATAAATGGACCTAGAGAGTATTATATTAAGGGAACAAGCCAGTCTCAAGATAAATATCACAGGATCTCACTCATATGTGGAATCTAATGAATAAAATAAACTGATGAACAAAAACAGACCCAGAGACATAGAAGCATGAGCAGACTGTTGAACCTCAGAGGGAAGGTAGGGGAGGGTGGGTGGGAAGAAATCAAACAATGAACTTGTATGCATATATGCATAACACATGGACACAGACAATGGGGTAGTGAGGGCCTGGGTGGGGATGGGGGGACAGGAGTGGGCTGGAAGAGGTCAATGGGAGGAAAAGGGGAGCTTATGAAATACTTTCAACAATAAAGATAAAAAAATAAAAGATGGGAAAGGAGATGGTGAGAGGAGAGGGACACACAGGTTTCACAATAGCAGAGACTGGAACTCCAATCCATGTGGAGCCTGCCACATGCCAGAGCCTTGGGAGAAGCAGGGAATAGTGACATGTCAGCAGAGAGGACCATCTTACTGTTCTCAGCATCACTAACCAAGGGAGCTGTAGGAGCCACCATGGAAGGAGGACCAGGACTTTTGCATTAAAATGATAATGAATGGCCTCAGAGTTCTTGTATATTCTAATGAGGGTAGGGGGCAGAAAAAGGGAGAAGGAGAGATCTCAAATAATTGGGGCCTTTTTTTTTATTTTCTAAAATAAAGAAAAGTGGTATGTCTCATTCCTCTAGAATCACAGAGCAATTTATGCCTGATATATCTGTTTACTCCTTTTACATTCCACTAGATTCGAAGCTCTGTGTATGCAGAGACACGTCGGTTTGGTTCATAAATTTATTCGGAATGCCTGGCTATGACTCCCCTTTGTCCCATCTAGGCTATAGGACGATATTGAAAATACCACTACCAAAGCAAAATGGAATGGAAAAGTTACACTTTCAGTCCTTAGGTCAAATATGACAAATAGGCTACATACCCCAAAACAGATTATATTTAAAAATAAAAAAAAAGTTTTCATTTGATCAAATAAATTATTTTTAAAGATGCCAAGAAATAAAGCAATTTGACTAAGATATTTTCTTTTCAACTTTAGTTTTTCTTTCAGAATAAAGTCATTTTTTTACACACCAAGAGAAGGGAGATCTGGTACTGGGTTATTTACATATTAAGAAACAAATTCTTAACAAGAGTGGGGAGATATTTAGAAGGACACCAGAATCAACTCATTTTTTTCTTAGATTATACATGAAGATATACCTAACATATATAAATTATATTTGCCTCTGTCTGTACCAATCACTTTTAGCTAACTTGCTAAATCAAGCAAAGAGTAAAACATCCTTCAAATGGTATCTGATTCTAACTTTTAGATCTACAAGTTCTAACGACCATTATTATTAGCATTATTATAGATCAAGCAGCGTGTACCAGACAGATGAGGTAAACAGGCCTACATAGAAGGTGGAAGATGGTAAAGCTAGCCCACACCCAGGGATGAAGGAAAGAGTTTGGTTTAGGCAAAGCAGACTGAGTGTGTGTGTTGGGAGTGGAAGTGGTGGTAAGGGGGGGTGGGGGGTGCAGCTGAAAAATCAGCTCTCAATCCATTTTTGCAGGACCTTCAAAGCCTTCTGGACAATATTAACTTTGATGAGAAATAAAACTTATAAAACAAAAGGCAAATTATGCCAACGAATCCCCAAGAAGAAATAATTCTAATTCAAGTTCTAGAAAGTGCGAAGTGAGGAGGGGTTTTCAATGAATTCCAAGCAGAGGAGCCAGCATTTACAAAACTACCAACTAAGAAAGGCCTAGGATATTCAGAGAAAAGCAAGTATTTTTCAGAACTTCATTACAGAGCAAGGCCACTGACCTGTGCAATTCTCTACACTCCTAAGTGCTGCACATAAGCTTTCTTCGCTACCCTGCGATGCTGCAGCGGTCCATTCACTGTCCCTGGGCTCAGAGTGAAACCCGTGCTTCTAAGGAGGCTTGGCCACCTTCCTGGTGTATGGAACTGAAAGGAGTTTTTAGGGGTGAAATAGGCAGGTTTAGGAAATTTAGGAATTAAGGGGGCCATGGAAAAAGCACAGGGCTACAGAGCTGCAGAGGGTACATTTCCATTTAATAAGGGAGCTGGGAGCAGCAGAAGGTACATTTCCATAAGATAGGGAAGCTGGGAGCTACAGAAGGTACACATTTACAGAATAAAGGGAAGGAAGCCCCTCATTCAGAAAGGGAAGAGGAAAGCCCAGAGGGAATAGGGAAACAATAAGGGAGAAGAAGGAGGGAACCTCCCTTAGTGAGGCTTAAGCTCAGGAGTTGCTATAGTAACCAAGGGGGATAGTGACCAATCAGAGGGGATATCAAGGCACACAGATCTGCAGCCTTTATAAACCAAAGGAAAAGGGACTCAGTGGGACTCTTTTCCCCTCCCCACATGGGAGTCTGTGCTTGTTTCTCAATAAATTTTCACCTTTTGCTATACCACCTTTCTTCCATGGTTTCATTCTTCAACTCCACCAGACAAAGAGCCCGGGAACCATCCTGCCCAGAGGAACACTGCGCAATCCAGTCCAATTTTCCCGTATCAGAACCCAGGGGACTTCCCTTTAGCCCCAAATTCCATTACATTTTATGCCCAGATAGTGTGGGATGTATATGCAAATCATGCCCAGAAACAGTCATGATACATATACACCCTCCAGGGTGTATAAATCCTGCTATGTTTGATAAAGCTTTAGACAAAGCCCCTAATTGATTTTCATGAGGCGAAGTAATAATCTATTCTTTGCAGGCATGCTCACTCTTTCAGAAAACAAACACAACTCTTGATAGGCAATTGTTAGACAGGGAAAATCCATTACAAAGAGATGTGCATTTTCAAGATAAAAATATAGCAGCCACAGTATCATTTGAGAGTTGGTAGATAATTTCGAGGTTATTACTAACTCTATACATCTCAATAGGGAATAATGTTTCTGCATTCTCTGATAGTATACAGACAGCCATCAGGAGCATTTTATCCAGAAAAAAACGTTCTTTAAAGACTGACTTTGTTCTTCTCTTTCCAAACCACTCATCTCAGTAAAGTATGTCATATATATTCACACATTTATACATTGATTATTTCATCTCAGTAAAGTGTATTATATTTATTCACACATTTATACATTGACTAGAGGCCCGATGCACGAAATTCGTGCAAGAGTAGGCCTTCCTCCCCCCAGCTGCTGGCACCGGCTTCCCTCCGGCACCCAGGACCTGGGCTTCCCTTGCAGTCCCGGCTTCATCCGGAAGGTCATCCGGTCTAATTAGCATATTACACTTTTATTATTGTAGATTATATTCATCTCAGTAAAGTACATTGTATGTATTCACACGTGCATACATTTATTTTGAAAAGTAGATGAAAAAATCTTTTTCTTCATAGTCTGTATAAATTAAAAACAATGTACTCTTTTTTTAAATTTTCTACTTTATTTTTTTTTAATTAAATCTTTATTGTTCAGATTATTACATTTGTTCCTCTTTTTTCCCCCCATAACTCCCCTCCTCCCAGT